GTATTTGTAGTATTATTATTTATAGATGATGTATTATTACTATTTATATTATTATTATTAGGAGATGAAATAGTTAAATTATTATAAGATGAACGATGTGGACCTCTAGCACTTAAAAATCCATAATTATATGATTTATTCTTATTAGGAGTTGAAGATGATAAATTTAATGTTGAAAAATCATTTGAATGTCTATTATTAATATTACTATTACTATTAGTAGTAGGTGTATTATTAGAAGATGATGAGGATGAATTAGGAGATGATAATTTAGATTGTTTTAAATTTCTAGGAGTTAAAGTTCTAATTAATTGATTTCTAGGTGTTGATTCAATAATCATACCATTATAACAACTAATTGAATTTCTTAGTGATGTTGTTGTTGGTGATAACATCATGGATTGAAAATTAGTACCAACAATACCATTCATCATTGAACTTTGATTATTACCGCTATTAGGGCTTGTAAAATTACTATTATTATTACCATTATATGCTGGTGATGATGATGATGTGGAACGACGTACTTGATCCATATCTAAACTTAGGCTTTTTCTACTAGTATTATTATTATTATTACTACTAGATGATGGTGGTGATGATAATGGATACATTCTTATTAACTAACTTTTATTAAGGCTTAAATTTAACTTTGTAATATTATAATATTGATGATAATGTTGAATAATAATGATGTTGAATAATGATAGTTGTCTAATGAGAGATGTGTATTTGTTTTAAATTTAACGTTATAGGTCCATTTTCAGAGATAATGTGAATGTACAAATTGTTAACATATACAAATTACCTTAATTGAATATTTTAATTTCCTTATTTATATCACTTATTGTAAATATTCAATAATAATATTTAAGATGAATCACTATCAGATGAATCGGATGAATCACTATCACTATCAGATGAATCACTATCAGAACTATCACTATCTACATCACTTCCACTTGAATCTGAATCTAATGCATCTTTACTATCAATTTCAGATCTTAATCCAATTGGTTTTAAT